TTTTCCTTAATGTAATTAACATAAACACTGAAGTCTTAAAAAGTAAGGGAATCAATATTTCCTTTTGACACAAGATTTTTCACTCTCTTTTGAGAGATGTTACATAATCGCTTGTGTCATATAAATTTATATTTAATATCATATAAATTCATATGCAAAGTTTCTTTATAAGAGACAACCGTTTTAAACAGATATATGTTATCGTAACAGGATAAAGATCTGGTTCCCACAATATTTTAACTAAGAAAAAGATCAAACTTAATATTTCCAATTGAACAACCGAATTAGTATAATGTAGAAATAGTAATCAAATTCCGTCTAAAAGACGGTATAACAAATATCTCTTTCATATTCAAATCATAATCAGTCTTGAATAATAATTTAAAAGTCCATATAACCTCAAGCTTAACTAATTTGTCATTACCCCACATAGATAAATCTTTTAGCATCAATAGCTTTTGGCTGTTCAGGCGACCTCGGATAGACACACTTATGTGAGTGATGACACCAGAATTTTATCCACTAAGTGTGTTTACGTATTGAAACTAAAGTAACTTCAAAACAAACCAAAGTGAGAAGTATACTTTTTTTTACACGCCAAGCGTGGTATTTAGTACAGTCTCTTTTTATGTATCCCAAATTTTCATAAAAGTAACAACCAAATTTATCCTTTTCAGGCATTCGATGTTTATTTTGAACCGAACCAATTGCAACTTTCTAATTCTTTATAACTTGTTCTTAGAGGTATTTGCCAAGTTAGTAATATCAGTTTTATCTTGTTTTAGCATTTCTTTTTCTTACATGCAATATAAAATGAGTTCATTAAGAGTCCACTTTCCCTTTTGGTAAACCCCATCACAAGAGACCGAATACAACATTGATATTTAATTTTTGGACATAAAACCAATTTGTAAGTGTTATTCTTGGTGTAGTAATCAAATATTGACAATAAATTATGTCAATTAATAAACCTGTCTTCGGATCGATTTATTGTTCACATAAAACAAAACCTTATAATTATCACATATTTATTACCATATGTGTACATGTAATTTGATTAAATATTTACCTTCATTTGGGCCGATGAATATCCGCATGAATTACAAATATACAACATTCTTAATATTTCAAATAAATTAATCTAGACAAGTGAGGTTACTTTAGTAACATGTTGTTTCAATTGATTTATTTAGGAAAATTAGTAGTCCAAAAAAAAAATTATTTTAATACCAAAATTTGAATTTGAATTGTTGATTCATAATTTTTTTCTTTTGCTTTGAAAAATAACTAGTATTTCACCCGTGC